CTTCTGTGATGGGACTAAAGTTTATATTTAGCTTCTTTTCTCCTTCACTGGCCTTCGCCTTCTCTGTGTGTCTAAAGCTTGCGTGTCAAGTCCTCTGCTTTCTTGAAAGCCTCATAAGCCCACATCCTCCCCACTTCAGACTCCTGCAGCATAGCTTGGTACTGCCTTGGCTCCTCCCAATGGGGGCTGCCGCTCTGCAGAACTTGCTGTGCCAATGGCACCCCCGGAAGCATGCAGTGCGTGGCCACCCTGTTTCCGCGGTCCAAACTTTCATTGCACCTGTTTCAGTTATAACTTTGAAAAATTTGTCTGTGATTTTTTGATTAATTTCTGTCTTGCCACCAGTCTGTGGGCCCCCGGAGGTGAAGAACCTTGTTTGGTTTGCTCACCATTGTTATCCGTCTCCTCCTGGAGCACAGCGGCTGGCTCCTAGCCTCCAAACTGATACCCTTTCCAAACCGCTCTTTTCACTGTCACCAATCTCTTTACAACTCAGATAACTCCTCTCTGCAAAAAATGCCTGGAGATTAAAGTCTAAATTCCAAGCAACAAATTGCTTTTTAAGCTTTATCTACCTTCCTATGAACACTGCCTTTTATTTGGGCTAATTTTACCTTACCTTATATGATATAGAGCTAGTCATTTCCCTATCTTGCTTCTTTAGGTTATAAATTGCTTGCATCTTTGTAGATCTTGGTCTTCATAAAAGGACTCAATAGGCTGGGTGCAGGGCTCATGCCTATAATCCTAGCACTCTGGGAGGCCAAGGCAGGAGATCTCTTGAGGTTAGGAGTTTGAGACCAGCCTCAGCAAGAGCAAGACTCCGTCTCCACCTGTCTCTACTAAAAACAGAAAAATTAGCTGGGTGTTGTGGCGCATGCCTGTAGACCTGGCTTCTCGGGAGGCTGAGGCAGGAGGATCGCTTGAGCACAGGAGTTTGAGGTTGCTGTGAGCTAGGCTGACACCACAGCACTCTACTCAGGGCAACAGAGTGAGACTCTGTCTCAAGAAAAGGGGACTCTAAATATTTGCTTGATTGATTTAGGTATTTTGGAAATTCTCTAGAATTACTATACCTGATAGAAATGTAGTTCTTTCTACACCACGAATTTAAGACATTTTATAAATATTCTGTTGTTTATATCACTGTAGCCTAAGAATATTATTCCATCGTTTTATTTACAGCTGTAGGTCCTATTGCTTGCAGCATGGTAATATTGATACAATGGGCTTTGCAATCCTATATTAACTAATCCTTGAATATTTATTGTTTTATCCATTAAACTTTGTTATCTATGTTATCTATGTCAGTCCTTCCTCCCTATTATCTAGATTAATTAGTATTTTAGGTTTTAATTCAATGAGACTTTTTTATGTGTCTCTATTGTGTTTTCTTAATTTCCTACTTACTCTCCCTTTCTTTTTTTTAAACCATTTTATTGAGGTATAATTGACATATAAAAAGCTGTACATATTTGATGTATACATCTCAATGCATTTGTGGATAAGTATGAAGACTGGCATTCCCTTATGCAATGGAGGCACCTTACCAACCTTCTCTCCAGAAAGGCAGTCATCCTGATCTCACCAAAGTGGAACAATGGAGACCTTGTAGGCTAAGGTTCTTTTAGAAACTGCTCTGGGTCTGTTAGGTAGATAGTGAGGGATTCCGGGTCTCCTAGGGACAAAAGTGGGTGCTATTGCCCCCATCTAGGTCCTTCCCCACCCTAATTCTCCACACCTGGGAGGGGAGAGAATACTCTACAAATCTGCCAATCAGAACTTGGCACACCAGCTGCAAAAGAATGCAGAGGACTCTCTAGCCCACGGGCCAACCAGTATAGCTACCATAAAGTCCGGAGAGTGACCTAGAACCCACATGCGCAGTAAGATTCAAGTCACGCAGCTCCCAGTTGTCCAATCAAAGTGGTTCCATAGTGATGTCTGAAACAGAGGGAGGTCCCTATATAGACACCATAAAACAAGACCCAGACCATAACCAAGCCCCTGTTTTTGCGTCCTTCCTTTGCTTTCCCTGTGCTGCAGCAGTGGGTCCGGTCGTCATCTGTGGCATATGTATCACGCTCTGTAAACCTGTATCTTGCTCTTGTCCTATAATCCTATCTTTCTCTCCTCAATAAACCTCATTTTTATGCTTGCCTGACTTTGGTATGTCTGGTCATTTTTCGGCCATGGGTGTGCCAAGAACCAACATTTCACACTGAAACCTGACAGGTCCACTTGAATACATGAGCAAATCAATGGCTAATGTACAGGGCTGGCTTCATGGATGTGTTACCTGTGCAGTCACAAAAGGACTCGCTCTCAGATGGGCTGTGCAGTTGGTTTAATGTCCTGGTGTCACCATCTTTAAATGCTTAGTAATTTTATTTTTGAACTTGTGTTTTGTAAAGTGAAAACTCTTGGGACAATTAAGCATGCACATGAACAGCAGAGATAGGCCAGTGGCGATGTGCACAGACCTGAGCCTACTGCTACGGCAGGCAGTGCAGTTGAGCAATTGGCCTGGTGGCCTGGTGCTCCAATGCATGCCTCAGAGCAGTGTGGGGTACTGCAGAGTCCCAAGGCAGCTGGCCAGCACTTGTGTCCAGATTGGCAGCAGTAACGGCAGCAACAGCAGCAGAAGCAGCAGGGACAGCAAAAGTAATAGAGGCAGCTAGCACAGTCATGCCCTCAGCAGAAAGAAGAGGCTCTGCATGGGGACATCTCTTGGACCCACCGTAGGAGACTTGTCCCCAGAACCTGTCCCGTGGCATTTGTGCATATAGTAAGGACTGGAACTGCTGACATTTGTGCAGAAATTTTTTTAAAAATTAGTAAAAAATAATAGCAAACACATGGACATTGCAATAAAGCATATCAAGGAGTTGTTAAAATTCTTCAGAATTTAAAATCTCCAATTTTGAAAACTGCTATAACATCACAAATCAAATATCCATAGGGTTAGAAATAGAAATTAAATTTAAATATCATTGCATTCTACAGAAAAGAACACTTTTCACATACAGCATTGAATAAACGAAGTATTCACAAACAAGGCCATTTTTAATTTTATTTTTCTTTGTAATTGAACATATAGCAATAGAATGCATATAAGCAAGTGTTTTGGTGCATATACAAACCATAAAGCCACTTTTGGATTCTTGCACAACCTCCTCCAGGTACAAGTGTCAGAGGAAACAATAAAATGAATATTGAATAAAATTTCATTTAAAATTTGGTTTGCACATGAAAATAATTTGTATGAAGAATTAAATATTTCTAAAAAAATTGTTCTATGAGAGTCATCAGCTCTGGAGGTTACATTTTGAAATGATTTATTAGAAATGTATCTAAATGTTGGCACAGCCTCTAAATATTCCTATCAATTCTAGTAACAGATGTATCAGCAAGAAGATTCTTCTCAAAATTAAAAATTGTCAAAAATTATTTATGATCTTGCATTTCCCAAGAGTGACCAACATCACTTTCCACTATACCAATTGAAAATGAAGTTGCAATGAGTACAGATTTTGATAACCTAGTAAATGAATTTGTAGAAAAGTGATCCAGAAAAATCTTATGATCAATCAAAATATTATATTATTTTTATTTTAAATAAAATTATGACACCAAAAATATTGTCTTGGAATCTGTATGTTTATGTTTTTACTCATGTATCACTATTACCCCTATTATATTTTATGAGTCATAAAATATTTTTAAAGGGAAAACATTATATTTTGGTAACTGTAATAGCACATTTCTCTCGCTTTTTGAACAAGAAATCTCACCTTTATTTTTTGCCCTAGGCCCTGCAAATTGTGTAGGTGGCCCTGTCAATATGATTTGGGGAAAAAAAATTTTCAAAGCTGGTATTAGCATTTATTTGCCCATGACAATTACAAAAGAACCTCAGTTTTGCTTCTATGGGAATTTGGTTTTGGACAAACTAACTTTCCAAAAGGAGTGAATGCATTATTGTTACTTCATTGATTTAGCATTAAGCATTTTATTTCTGAAAAGTCAAGCAAATTATTTGCAATTATAATATTCTTCAGACATTAGAAGAGTAGCAGAACTGGTTTGTTCTATTGGCAATTATTTCTAGTGCACATTCTAGTAAGGATGTTTATTTGCTAGGTGTTGAAGGTATATGGGTAAATAAGATATAGTTCCTATTCTAAGGAGTCTAATAAGGTAGACAATATGAAAAAATAGTGAATTAAAATATAGTATTTTAAGGGCAGCTACAGAAGTATGTACAAGATATAGATGATAGAGGTATGCGAAAGCAAAGGGTACTTAACCCGACGGGATAGCTAGAGAGGTTTCTGCCTACTTGTTCCATAAATGTCTAGGCTGATACTGACTTGCATTCTCACTGCAATTCTTTTGTTCCATTTTATTAAATGGAGAGCAAAGAATCTCTTGCCTGAGATCAGACGCCCACCAGCCCTGCCACCAGTGCAACCATTGCTGTCTTTGTTCCTTCCCTAGACTTGGACCCTCAAGAGCTTGTTTCTGACTAGCTTAACTCTGCTCATGCCCATATTTCAGCCTAGCTGCTAGTTTGTATTTTTCCAAAATAATTGGAATTGGAATTAACTTTGTGTTATATTTTAAGGATGAAGGTTGTATTTATTTATCCATTGAATAAATACTAATTGAGTGCCTAGTATGATAGTCAGTAAACTCAGAAACTTAGTTCCTGCTCTTATAGAGCTTATATTCTAGTTATATATTTTATTTTCCAATTAATGCAACAGTTCTCTACTTTTTAAAAATAAGAATTATTGATTTGAATGTAGCGATAGAGAATATCTTTATTACAAAGCAGCCTTTACTAACAAGATTATAGCTTACTTTCCTGGTTTATAGTTTCATTAAAGAATAGCTTATTCCAGTTGAATTTTGCTTACTTTTATTATTTTTCATTACTTTTACTTTATACGTGAAGGCACTTCTAAACAGCTAAATATGGATTAATTTTATTTTAGAATTGTGAAAAATGGAAGACAGTACCACAGACACAGAAAAAGAAGAGGAAGAGGAGAAAGATGAAAAGGATCAAGAGCCCATTTATGCCGTAGTGCCCACAATTAACATTCAAGATGAGCGGTTTGTTGAGTTATCTGAAACTCCAGCTTTTATTTTTCTGCATGAGGTAAAGTTCTCTTTCTATCTTCCTGTGGTAAACTCTGAACCATCATCTACTTAAAAATTCAGATGAAGCCAATATCATTACCAAAATTCTTTATTAAATACATCCTGTAGGCAATAGGTACAGTTTGAAGCACTTTAAAACAAAATGATCTCCGCCTTTTCTTCTAGGAGTGTTTCATGTACTTGTGAACAGTTGCTGTAGTGTAGGTTCTGCTACTTTTGTAGTATAATAAATACTTGCATTTATATGCAGTCAATTATGCACATTTCATGAGTTGGTACATGAAATAAAAAAGGAGATTTTTTAATCATTGTATATACTATATTCACTTCCATGAAATGAAGATAAAAGACCTTGTATCATATAATGATAGACAGAACATACATTTACCTAACTAACTGTAATTATTGCAGTGAAATACTGAAATCTGCTGTTTTCTATAAGCAAAGAAACAAAAAGGGGCATATAATAAATTATATATTCTCATTGTCTGATTTTTAAAAAGCAAGATGATCATTTAGGAAATACCCATATGTGTGGAGAGTTGCTTATTTTAAGCAATGATGGACTGCCTGTGCAACTGTTACTGTGTCATGCCTAAGAGCTGTACTTTAAAAAATAGTTTAGAGGATATTTGAATTACAGACTATTAACTTTATGTACATATAACTGAATAAAACATTCTATGAAATTTGATAGTCATAGTAAAAATAAGCTTATGAAGTCTTTAAAGCAAAAACAGAGTTTATTCAAAACCAAGAAGCAAAACCAAATTGAAATAGGATGCAATAAAAAAGTAATCTTTAAAATGATAGCATTTCATATATATGTGTATAGGACGTAAATAGCTGCATTGTTTACTTTTTTCTATAGTTTTAACTTTTTATTTTATTTTGACATAATTTCATATATACAGGAAATTTGCAAGAACGGTACAAAGAATTTTTATGTACATTTCACCCAGATTCCTCAGACGTTAGTATTTTACCACATTTGCTATATTATTTTCTTTCTGCCTTCTTGTTCTCTCAATCTCTCTCAATCTCTCTCAATCTCTCTCAATCTCTTTCTCTCTGTAGACATGATGCCCCTTTATACCTAAATGCATGTTTAGTGTGTTTTCTAAAAATAAGTTTATTCTCTTACTTAATAGTGCTGCCATTATATCAGGAAATTAACATTGATAACAATACCATTATCTAATCTACAGACCTAATTCAGATCTTGCCAGTTTTCTCAGTAATGTTCTTCATAACAAAAGAGAATTCCAGGTTATACGTTGCATTCAGTAGTCATCTCTTTAGCCTCCTGTAATCTAGAATGATTTCTCAGTATTTGTTTAGTTTTTATGACACTAACACTTTTGAACAATATAAGCCAGTTATTTTGTAGAATTGCTTTCAACTTGGATTTGTCAGGTTTTCTCATGATTATATTCAAGTTCAGCATTTTTTTTGGAACTACCACAGACACAATGTTACGTTCTTCTCAAGTAACTCATATCAGGAGCACATGATGTTGACTTGTCCCACTACTAGTGTTGTTAACCTTGATCACTTGGTTAAGGTGGTGACTCCCAGGTTTCTCTTCTATTTATTACTTTTTTCTGTTTGAAATTAATAAGCACCTTAAGGGGAGACACTCTGAGACTATGTAAGTGTCTTACTTCTCCTAAAATTTTCACCTAGGAGTTTGACATCTGATGATTCTTGCCCAAATCAATTATTCTTATGATGGTTGCCAAATGCTGATTTTCTAATTCCATCATTCCTTTTACATTTATTAAGGGGCTTCCTACTGTAAGAAAGAACTTTCTCTTCTTTCGTATTTATTTGTCAGTTTGTCTATTAGTGTGGACTTACGGTTTCTTAATTTATTCAGTGGATTATAATCCATTACTATTATTCCTTTCGATGCTTTAATTGTCCCACATTTGGCCAGTGTACACCCTTCAAGTAGGCTTATTTGTCCTTTGACATGTTCCAGTCATTCCTTGTGCCCTTCTTTACTTTCTGTCACAGGGATGTATTCCAGGCGCATCTTGTATTTCCTTTGCTCCAGCCCTGGAACCAGCTGTCTCTTGGAGGATCCCTGGTTCCTGTTAGTGGAGAATGATGTTTGGAAGCTAAGCTCTTAATGCTGGGTATGGTCACTGCTCCTGGTATGTCACTGCTTCTAGGCCCTCTCAGTAGTCAGAGGTAGGAAATAGATGCATACATATTTGTATTCACACAAATTTGTATCTATTTCTACAACTGTCTTTATATAAAATTTAAAACCATGATTTCATACCTTTAGTCTTAATATTTTTAAGTTATCAGAGTCCTCGTTTCTGCTAAAATCCATCATATGTCCAACTTTGCAATGGATTTCTACTTCCACAACACTACCCTTAATAATTCAATCAAAGGCCAGGTGCGGTGGCTCACGCCTGTAATCCTAGCACTCTGGGAGGCGGAGGTGGGCGGATCATTTGAGCTCAGGAATTCGAGACCAGCCTGAGCAAGAGTGAGACCCCC